AGGGTCTCAGGAAGAGACCTCCCCAAGAAAAGCTCGAAATCAAGCAGATACAAACCGAGGGAAATGAGGGAAGGTTCCGTCTTCAACCCTAGTCCCTCTAGTAAAAGCCGTTCATTTGGCGAATGCCGTTTGATAAGAGCGGCCTTTTCTTTATTCACACACTGACTGTGAGTGAAACAGCCTGGGAAACTCATTTCCCATGTTTCATCAACAATGACCTTTTTTTGAGAATGCCCTATGGCAATCAGTCAAATGATCAACACCAAGCCATCTCAAAACTCCCGTCTCCTGTTCACTCACACTTACGATGTTGCTTCTGCAATATGCCTCTTAGACTTATCGAAAAACGAGAAATATAAAATAATGTGGGTACATCAAGTTGAAGCTGGCCTCGAAGTACGATAGGGGGTTTGGTGTCTTTGTTCTGGAAAATAACCGAGTCCAACCAGCTGAAAGAAACGGAGATAGGTTGAAGCATAGATGGGGCTTCTTTCATGCGAATGATTCGATTTAATTGCTATGGCTTCCTCATATTTTGGTCTCGGCTGTCTGTAGCCGACTTGGACATCGAGCCAGGGCTTTCGAATGCATAGGGGGGTTGAGGTTTTCTTGGTAACATAATGACTTGTATGGGAAGAAGAGACAGACCGCAAACGTGAAATCCCTTGCTCCTTAGAACTTATCGGCAATTCCCGCGCCGGCAGGGGCGATAGTGCAGGATTTAGTTGAAAAATGGAAATTTTTGCTATCACGTGTCCAGGGATACCCGGTCGGTAGGCGTCCGTTTTGATGGAAACTTTCGTCAAGAGTGGAAGCACAAGGATTAGCCTTTTTTTTTTCTCCAAATCAGCATAAAACGGACCAAACAATATAGCTGTGGGGCTGCTGACTTTCATTAATTTGGCGCTCTGGTGGCACCGTGGCAGTAACCCTCTTATAGAACCTGGGCCGTCATTTCCAGCGAGACTTCCCTTTTTTCGGGGCAATATAGTAGGCCTCAACGGCTAGACCGAAAATGCGTCACCAGATTCAACCGCTTACGGTATTTCTCTTTCCGGGGTTTCCGTGTGTTCCGAGTAAAGCTTACTTTTGAAAGTTGCGGTTTTTGTTTGAGTAAGCTTTCCATCAGAACTGGAACGCCAGTTTGGTTATATGGTCGCTGACGTCTTTGCCGTTTAGCGGGCGCGGCCTAGAAGTTACCGCCCAAAAGTTCAGGCAATGTCACTGCTTTCTGAGCATCAAACCATCACCAATCATTTTACCCCAGGACTAGATTTACCGTTGTGAGGGCTTTGAACCAACGCCTTGATGTTCTTCATGTGCTGAGATCAATGCACGTTCTGGCGCTTTTAACTGTTCAAAGCAAGCTCACTGGAATGATATCTTTCACCCTCCTGAACGTACCTACCTACCTGATGTACGGGGTAAGAGGCATGAGTCCGTATGACAGCACATGAGCACGTGACAATAACAATCACTCGAAAACCGACATAACTCCCAATCAATTTTGAGAGTACATGAACATTTCACGAGAAGACTTTTTTTTCATTCGCTAAAACCCTGGGGGATCTCGCAAAAAAAATACATCAATCTTCCATGAGAGCCTTCGAGTAGCTGAGCTGCTTTGATATTAACCTATTCTTGACTATTTCACTCTCCTTCTTGTGTGGCTTAATCTTCGTCAGAGCTGATTGACCTGCCATTGTAGATACCGGATTTTGCCACGTTTGAGTGAAGAGAACATTTGAACGTGCACGACGCACTCTGAATTATATTCCCATGCGATCCGACGAAATTGTGCGGCGAAATGCTCCCATGCAATAGAACCAAAATTTTCGAAGATGGAGAAGCGAAGAAATACCTGAAACTCCGCTTGCCGGTCTTGCCGTTCCCGCCAACCATTCTCAGTTCGGGCTTATAAGCTCAACCACGGATATGTGCAAGAATCTAGTCCACGCATGATCGAAACAAGGTGCAACGTTCTACCCAAACTTAGACCCCATCCAATACTCTTACTGAGCTTCTGGTTTATAGGAGCCGCATATGGCTGAAAGAACCTGCGTAGAAGGTATTTCACAGGGAAAGAAACTATAAATCTGATTTCCCTTGGGTATCCGATAAACAAATCGCAAAAGAGGGCAACATCAACACGTCATTTATTATGCTTGTGGCATTGAAAAGCATTCATTTTCTGTTTCTTGGCGAAGCAGACATAAAAGCTCAAGCATGGTCGGAAACAGTCTGCTTTATTTAACGTTTCAAGTTGTCGTCTTTCCATCACGAAACTTCAGGTGATTCAAAATGTCCGATCATGAGCTGCCGGATTTCCCGACCTTGAGCGACGTCCTCCACAGATCAGTCCCTGGTTCATATTCTCTTGAAAATCTTCGCACATTCATGCAACAGAATCGTTGCGTAGAGATTTTGGACTTCTTACAAGAGGCTGAGGGCTATAAAGAAAGCTATTACGCAGTTTTCATTCAACTTGGTCCTATCACTCGTCACTCCGTACAGCGCCCTGAGGTTCAAGAGTTACGGATCCTTTGGCGACATTTAGCCTTGACATACCTTTCCCTAGGCTCTTCACGGGAAGTTATTGTCACAGATGGTGAATGGGATCAATTCTCAACTATGAGCTGGATCCTTCCCCCTCCTCCATGTATAATGAACTCAACAGTGGAGAGATCTCGCCACATACTCGCACATACTATATTTCCTGCATTTTTGAACTATCGATGGCAGGAAATCGAAGGTAGATGAGGGAAAGAGTCCTAAAGATAACAAGAAAGTTACATTAATTGTCATGGTATCTAAATTTGGTCCGAGTATAGTAACAAGTGGAGAGGAACGCCTGTTTCTTTCAAATGTTAGCTGTAGCGTGGTGACAGGGTTCAATGCTAACCCCAAATTTAGGCCTTAACTATGCCACAATTCATCTTCGGAAAGTTTCATTCTTTTTATAGACCTATTTAAAATAAATTTATACTTAGATTGGTGGCTGAATTAATGTTAACGACGATCCTCTGAGACCAAGTCTAGTTTACAAACTTAGCGGCTTGTGACTGACTAAGCTGGTCGTTTGCAAAGTAGGTTTTATATGATTATGACAAGAGGAGAGTGCAGCGTCTGTCTTTTCCAAATAGTACTTAAAGCCATAGCACTGACTAAATCAGCTGGATCGTCGACCTCCTTGCCTATCTTTTTCTTTACAATACATGAAAACATATGATAAACATTGTAATCGAGCATCCTGGATAGAATCCCCTCTTTCCAGGGATATAATGGAAACAAGTGAAGGGAGAGGAGCGATGATTCGGTAGAATACAGGTGACACAGAAAATCAACAGTTCCATGTTCAGTAGTACCCGGGTCAGAGAAGGGATGTTGCAAAAAAAGACGGGGAAAGACCCGAAGAATTTATCTATGTCGCAGAATGTAGCGGAATCTGATTGGATAGAGAAAATTCAAATTTGACCATACCTCAATATGAATTAGAAAGCTATAGCATAAGAGCCATTGCACTTCGGTGGTGCGATCAGCTCGTTGGGGGGTGTCATACCATCCCAAAATTTTGAGAAATCATGTATCCGTCCGCATTGATCTGCTCACCGATTAAGAATTTCCAAGCTCCTCGTCGCCAATGATACAGATGTGACGTCTCTTAAACAAGTAGTTCTCTTGTAGATCATCTCCACATTCTCGTGTTCCCTTATATCCCTTCTCACAGGTTTCAAATGTAAAATTCACTACTACGGCATCTTACCCTTGCTGCAAAGTGGTACCAAGAAGACAATTTTGAGAAGGCTTTGATCTCCTCTTAGCAACCTCTTGTATAACCTACTCACGCCAGGTCGAATAAGGGACATAAGAGAGCAGGGCTGGTCGAGTATCAATGGAAGGTCAATATGCAGTCCGAGAAATGTGAGCCTTGTCGACGGCATTCGACAAGGCTCACCTCCATGTTTCCCAGTGTCGTTTTTGTCCACCCCGACAATCCACAACCCGTAAAATACGTACCTGGGGATCCTACTCTCAACTAACAGGACATGACAGCTGCAACAGCTTGAATAGACGCGTGATGTGGCCGTTGACAGAGCACACTGACCATTTTGAAACCGATTTTGAGCCGACTGGGGGACCCAGTGATGATCAAGAAATGCTCTTTATTTGGTATCACCGAATAAAACTTGGCCACCCATGGTGTTGTATTTGTGAGAGCTTCCATTGCCAGTTTCCCAAGTACGAGGAGTGCAAAATCCGAGGGCTCCAATATAAACTATACACGATTCCTGAGATGGCATAATTGCCCGAGCATACGCGAGCAGCGCCGGATGATTGATAAAAATACCGCTTTTGCAAAGTCTGGTCCATCCCTTCGAATGATTGAATGGACTGGATCATTTTATTCTTGGAATAGGAGTCGAATCAGAAACCTCATCGATCAACTGCGCCCTAGTAAATGCATTGGTATTCCTCCTTTGATTGCATTTAAATGAGAAAGGTCCTGCCAGCAAACCAAGACGCATACACCGAGTTGAGGTGGAAAAGGTGCCAAATGGAACGATTTCCTGTAAACTCGTAGCCTTGGCTATTCTTAAAAAAGCGGGTGGAGGGGGAAGTAATCCAACTAATGTTATCTCCTGAGTCTGGCTTCATGAGTTTTAGTTTACCACAAGGAATGCGGTCGATGATGCGTTACTTTTCATGCCAATAAATCGATATGCTCATTTAATGCAAACGTTTACCAACCAATGTCCCTCGGATCGGCATCCGGCTGAAGATGCAAGTCTCGCATGAAACAATGATTTCGGACTATAAAGCTAGCCTATGCGTAATAGACAACAAACGAAAAATAATCAGCTAAGGTAGCGACCATGGGTGTCAATCCACCATCTCTCACAGTGTAACCCAAAAGATCATCTAGCACTGGCTTGGCGTTGGCCCCTCATTGAGAACGCCGCACTTCTGTCACTTCCAGTCCCATATTGCCAGCGAGGAATTCAACGGAAGCACGATGGAGTTACCAGACCGCGAGTCCACTGTAAGCTCCCGATTTCGACCACTAGCGCACAAAGGGCGATCATAACACTTATACCGCCGTACAAATACGCGTGACGTCTGCGGAGATCCGAAAGTTCTAGCACCCACGTGCTGACAGTTGTGAGACATCCGCAGAATCCGTCCATGATCCCTTGTAAGACCTGGCAACCAATGACGCTGCCACCGCCAAGACTAGATCCTCCGATCGGGGCATGCTGAATTGAGTATGCCATTCCCAGTAACATTGTGCCACACACATTCACTGTAAAGGTTCCAAGAGGAAAAGACCGGATTCGGCTGTTGAGTTTGAGGGAAATGAAAAATCGGGCTAGGCACCCGACCGGAGCGAAGACTAGAGCAAATAAGACCGGCCCTCTCCATAACTCTGCGCTCCATAGAGTGCTCTGTTGTGAATTTTCCGGCAATAAAATCACCAAGAGAATCACTGCAACCCATGAAAGGCATGCGAAGATAACTGCGGCGGGATCTAGTACTTTGCGCAGCCAGTGCTGGGGAAGGCTTGGTGTCCAAGGAGATACGCCAATCGCGAGGTGTGCCCCGAGAAAAAGGCCTGCCAGAGACAGACCAATTTCTGTAAACAGCACAGCAACTAGAGCCATAAAACTAAAACCACCATTCGGAGTTCTGGCCACAGCCGGAGCCGAAGCAAACAAGGAGATATCTGCATAATGGCCGATCGGCACGGGAAGTCGGTCGGCTAATGCCAGATATACATCTCGAATGAAGGTGGAGAAGGATGTTAGACTCCCGCAAAAACCCGTCGTTAACCCGATGTAGAGCGGTATCGTTTTCTTGTGTGCCTTCAAATGTGCAGCCCTCCGCGTGCCGTCTTGCCTCTCCTCTTCCGGGATTTTAGCCACAACCTCTTCAAATCTAAATATCTCCTGATCTTCGCTCAAAAACCCCATGATAAAGCTGCCTCCGACATTGGCCCAGAGAACGCTTGTGTTCACCGGCGACCCAGGGTAAAATGTCAGGCATTCTATGGCGATTCGGAGAAGCGTGCCAATAAATGAGAACAGAATCAGGTACCCCACAATGCATGTAGTCCTGGCTACCTTAGATAGCCAATGACCAGCTGGACTCTCGGTTTTAGTTCCCAAGCTGGCACCAGAAGCCTGGACGCCGTTGTTATCAACCTGAGCCGGCTCTGTCTTCAGTTCCTGGACGGTTGACTCTGAGTCTTCTGTACTGCGGTTTTCTAGGTATTCTTTGCGTTGGACTGGTTTTTCAGACGGGTCATAGACGGGACGCGGGGCGGCGACTTCATTCAAGTTAGTCTCAGATGCCGAAGACTGCGCTGTCGGTGATGGTGCCGCGTCATCGTGGCGAGGCGAAATAGTGGAGCTAGAATCGTCGCCCTGCGATCGGGCGCGGCTGTGATTGCAAGAATTTGTCGAAGGTGACATTTGGTGCAAAGAACGGCATAGGTGAACGATTAAGAAAACCAGCAATATTCGAAATGCAGGAATGTGACCCGAAGAGGATCGATTAGAAATGAAATGAAATTTTTATCCACCGGCTCGGGCGGCCCGTTCGTACGTATTGTCAACATTCATGGATGCCTATTCACTGTCCAGTTCAAAGAATCGATAGTCAATTCACTGACCTGTTCACTCGCAATGCTATGCCGCAGCATTACAGTTATCAACATAATTGCTTTCATGTCGGTTTCATTCCCCATGGGTGGCTGACCATGGGTGGCTGAAATGCCGGGCCAAAGTCAAGCTCGTCACGATGACATAATCCGATCAGCCGACGGACGAGCCATTCCATTTAATTACCGGCTATCCGTTCCGGGTCCCACTGAACTCCTCCTACCCCGGAACTCATGGATCCGTCCTTCTAAAACGACCATAACAATGAAACGCCAACGAGTCGGAATTGCCTGCGATAAATGCCGCGAGTTGAAGGCCAAGGTATGATTGTTACAGTTCTTTCTCTTTCTATTCGATGGCCGAACCAACTTTGGACTGCCACAGTGTGACGGACGACAACCGGTATGTTCCAGGTGCGAGGGCTATAGTTTCAACTGTTGCTGGTCCGGAAGGAAGCGTCCAGCACCCCGGACTCGCGCAACAGCCACAAATTCCGTCTTTGCCAATGGCCGGCAGTGCCAGTCGCAACTTTTAGTCTTGCAAGATCATCTGCCAGCGTACTCAAGAGCGGTCAAATCGTACGAAGCACTGATCGAAGAGATCCGCGCCAGATTGGATAGCTCCCAACAGGCCGGTCTGGATCTTAGCCTCCAGGATATTCGAAGTCTCGTGCCACAGGAACCGAGAGAGGTTGAGCAGGTGCCTAGCAGTGCAAATATCAGCGCACAAGTTGGAACCCCAGCGGCTTCTCCAACGACGTATGTAGGCAAGGCAAGCGACATCCATTTCATTCAGAGCGTACACCATTGTGTTCATGGGCATGAGTCTGGTAAGGATGTGTCTGCTCAGAATTACAGCCAAACCTACGTTTCACAGAGTTTGACGGCTCTGACGCACCCATTGCTATTTCCGTCACAGGCAGAGTCGGATCAATTTCTAGATGTCTATTTGTCGACAATCCACATTGCGTATCCTTTTTTCTCCAGATCAATTCTGCTTGACGCATTCGAGCGCTTTCGGAATGGGGAAGTTCAAGAGCCAGAATTTCGCCCTTGGCTCGCAATTCTCAGTAAAGCCTAGGCCCCTCTCCTTTATTCCTATTATCCTCTCTGCCAAAAGATGGCTCGTGTCACTCGCTGACCTGATTTAGATTTCATATTCGCTATCGGATCGTATTATACTTCTTTTCCACACGGGAAGCACTCTTGCGAGCGACATCACTTGCGATATTATGACCAGGGTCTCTACTTTTCACGAGAGCTGAGTGCAGACTGTTCCTTGCTCAGCGTCTGGATTTTACTAGTGCAGTGCTTTTTTCTTTTGGCCGTTTGCCATACGGACCGGTAAGGATAACGGGCCAAGGCCTCTCTGTTTGTAAACATTCGGGAGCGCTGAGACTTCCTCATTTAGGTGCTGGAACACGTTGGGTTTCGCGATTCGAATGGGGCAAAGTATCGGACTCCATGTCGGGTCTCCTTTAACCCCTAGCTCTGATCAGTCCTGGATGGTGAATGGCGATCACAGACGACGGACTTGGTATTCCATGTATGTCTTAGATCGACTACTCGCTCTTCAATTAGGCAGGCCCATGGCTATTCATGAAGCCGAATTTCAGGTGGAGCTGCCCTCGTTGAAGGACGAGTCGCCGTTTATCTCCTCTCATGACGAAGATTGCCGCTCAAGTGGTCCTTCAGGGCACGGATGCCTGATGGCGTATTTCCTTGAAGTGATTCAATTCTCGCACATTGTCGGCTTGGTCATCCACGGTCTATACCGGCCATCTCAGGTTGACCTGTCTCCAGACCAGATGCTTGAAAGTGCCTCAACACTTGACCAACATCTATTGAAGTGGAAGACGAGGCTGCCACGGCAGCTGCGCTTTGACCTGGGCCACACTTTCGAAAAGTCTTTGTCGTTCAAACGCCAGGTATGTCTTTTTTTGGCTCCTGATTTATCAATCCCTCATTGCATCGCATTTGCTGAAAACCATTAGCGTAATATGCTTGCTGTGAAGTACCATCATCTGCGTGCACTCATACACCGGCCTTTCTTGTGTCTTCCACTTCTACAAATGAATAATCAGTCCTTCATGAACCTGCTTTTGCGTCATAAAGAACGAATTGCTGAAGCGGAGTGGAATTGCGTGTATGAAGCTCAGCAGACTGCGCATTTGCTGCACAACATAGTAGACGAACAAAGTTTGGTTCATGATTTTCCTTGGTGGCAAATGATATCCTGCTTGATCTGCGCGAGCTCCATTTTGTTTGTTGCGGAAAGTTATTACCACGATAACAATTCCACGGATGGCAAAGCCTCGACTCAAAGTCTTCGAGAAGATGCAGAGACCTGTCTCAAGGTTTTTGAAGCTCTCAGTGTCAACTCGGCTGCGGCACAGAAAGCAGCGGACATTTTGGGATCACTTTCGAGGATGCATCGATCAGTGGAAGATGGTAGGTTCTACTTTGTTGTCGACCGTGTATTATATTATCAGCTGTCAACTTGCATTGACCAACCTCTAACACAATCAGATAATGTCACCTCTAATTTGCTGCCTACCGATTATTCTCCACTCGAAACTATACAATCCCGTCCTTACCATGCGCCAGTTCTTCCTCCATTTTCCCCGTCGCCACAGTTGCCAGTGGACATATCAGCTTTATGTGAATGGCCGAGTGAAATTTCCAATGCAATGGAATGGTCGGTCAGGTTCTTAGATTATCCTCACTTCCATCCACCATCCACCTGAGCTCCCTCTGTTGGCCTCGCATTAGCCAGGCTGTCTGGTGTGACTTCCGGCTCTCTCCCTGATTCTTGAATTTCTTGCTTGGAATAAAGTTGATGTTCCCAATCTCCGTTCCTTCACTATGTAACATTTTCCGTCAGTTTTAGCCATCTAATTTTCTTGGATGAGCTACCAAATCATTCGCAGCTCTTGATCTACAATCGTCTCTCGGGCACTCTTGCGTGCTAGGTCTTTCTTATCTCTGAGCTTGGTGCAGTTGGACAGCTCGTTTGCGGATCTGAGGACGGTGTTTGGTTTACAAGTTGATCATTCCTCTGATTAGTTCGTAGCGCCTTTCACATGGCATACTTGCTATACACATTCGGTCCCATTATTTCGGCGATCCAAAGGCCGATGGCAGAGAGGACATGTAAAAGGAAAGTCAAATGCCACCTTTCCAAACAAAATTTGTGAAAAACATGCAAGCATTCCAGATCGTAGACTATATCATTGGGCTGCACATCCTTTAGGCTTACAGAACTGTAGATACTTGTTAATACCTCGGTTGGATGGTGGGTCCATACTTACCAGTGATCAAGTTTCGTCTTGCCATTAAGCAGGTGTTCTTGCCGACACTGCTGTAGCTCCGTCAAGGTCCGCAAAGGTAGAGTGTTGAATCCCAGGTATGTCGGAAGATGATAAAGAAAAGATGGGTCACTTGACCGGTCCGAATGTGCCCTCGTGGGTTGACTGGATCGCACAGACACAGCAAATTTGCGAATCATTGCCCTACGTGCTGACTGATAAGCCCATTTTCGGGCAATCCCATCTTAATAGGGTTTGGCTTACATGACGACAAGGGTGGAGATGACGTACGTCACGATCGGCAAGACAAGAGCCAGGACTAGCTGCGACGTTGACATATGCCGGATGTTGTTTCGAGCCTTGAATGTAGTTTTCCTAGGTTTGCGACACCGCTAAAGGGCTAGTTCCTTCTAACATGAGAAAAAGAGAACTGCAGCTCTCATATTGCGCTGGTGGCAGCTATAAGTCCCTCGCCTTCCCCGCCCTACCCGGCCGACTATCCGGGGCATAATGGTTGCGCCTGCGTAGCCTCCTTTTGGCATGAAAATCAAGCCCATACCCGCGAGAATCAATGAGACAAGGAACTTGAGATCGTTTGTGGTTAAACAGTGATTACGAAATGACGTGTTGAGCAACATGTGCAAAAGCGGATCCACCGGTCGCAACTCATTGTTACGATTCCCCAGGGCTGAAGCATCATATGTAGCAAAGATGGATACCAAGCTCATTATTGAATTATCAATTAAATCGTCACCATTTAAATTCAAGTTAGGTAGGTGTGCACAAAGGTGCCGGGTTGATCACTATTCCCTGAACCACGAGTTCTGATGTCGGTCGACCTCATCAGAACAAAACGGTGACGATTGCGCGGGACAGTTCCTCCTCTTGGCATGACCTCTGCAAGGCGGAAGTTAATTGGCGTAGGGTTTTGATCACTTCCATTTCGTATTTGCGATCGGATCGTATTACACCTCTTTCCCGCATGGAAAAAACACTGGTACTCGCCATCACTATCGATACTATAACCAGGGCCTCTACTACTCACGAGAACTTAGCGCGGGTTGCTCCCTGATGAGTATCTGGGCTCTGCTAGCGCAGTGTTTTTTTACTCGCAGTTTGTCACACCGACCGGTGTGCATGCTTGCCCCCTCCTGTGCGCTACCCAAAAAATGTTTCTGGTACTAATATTTTCCGTAGATGCTGGAATACTTTATGGTTCGCTATTCGAATAGGACAGAGTATCGGTCTTCACGTGGAATCTTCTCCCGGCTGCAAATCCGAGAAGGATGTCGCCGACTGGCGACGAACGTGGTATTTTTTGTATGTCTTGGACCAGTTGCTTGCCCTTCAGCTAGGACGATCGATGGCGATTCACGAGGGCGATTTTCACGTGGAACTACCCTCTGCGGTCGATCAAGCCCCTTAGAGTTCTGATGATAAGGGGTCTGTCGCAAGCACGCTCCCAGAGCAAGGATGCATGATGGAATAATTTTTTGGAAGTGATCCGATTCTCGCACATTGTCGGTTCTGTCATACGAGGTTTATATCAGCCTTCCCAAGTTGAATTATCTCCGGATACAATGCTGCAAAGTGCCTCCGATCATCGTCAGCGGTTAGATGAATGGAAGGCTAGTTTGCCACGTAACTTACGGTTTGATCTGGGACACACCTTTGAGAAGTCTATATCGTTCAAACGCCAGGTTGGTCTCCTTGCCAGCAAGAACATTGCCGTTCTTCAGAAACTTCCATATTTGCTGAAAAACAAATCAAATAGCGCAATATGCTTGCGGTGAAGTTTCATCATCTGGATGCACTCATTCACCGGCCTTTCCTGAGTCTTCTCGTCTTGCAGATGAACAACAAGCCATTCATGAACCTGCTTACACGGGACAAGGAGCCAATTTGAGAAGGGGAATCCAATTATATCCATGAAGCCCAGCAGACAGCCCGCCTACTCCCCCATGGTGGTAGATGATCTCATGCTTGATCCGCGCCAGCTCTATATTGTTTGTCGCTGAAAGTTTTCACAATAATAGCAATATTCTTGGTGACAGAAGCTCGGCTCAGACGTTGCGAGAAGACGTGGAGACGTGCCTCAAAGTCTTCGAAGCTCTCAGTACCAACTCTGCTGCAGCGCAGAAGGCAGCCAATATGTTAGAGAGTCTTACGCGAATTTGTCAGACAACCGAAGAAGGTGGGATTTTCTTGGCTTTCTTTCTCCCTGTGCTTTTGAAATGAGGGACTTGCGAATTTTCGTCAAATTTACAGTGGGCTCGTTCAATACCCCATAGTTGATGTCGTCCGCCTTGTGTTTGCCTGGTATCGATCTACCACATCCCCACTTCCAGCATGGCGGTGATTCAGCTCCGTTTCTCCCGTCATCGCAAATACCTGCCGACATACTGTCTTCATTGTAGTGGCCAAGTAAAATATCAAGCGCCATGGAGTGGTCAGTTCGATTTTTGGATTATCCTCACTTTCAGGAACCTGGGGCCCCCACCTCGACGAATTCTTTTCATTAACAAGCTTATTACGCTTTGTTGCCGAACGCGTAAGTCTGTCTTCTTTAAATGGAGATATATACACTGGCTTCTGGATCGATTGCTATTTACAATATCTTGACCGGAAAAGGCGGGACCAGGTCGCAATGGCGAATATATTTACCGCTTCGACTTTTGTCAGTATGCACGCTGGCCGAATCGAGGTCAGAGAGGAAACAAACAGAAGAAATTAAAGATGCGGAAGTTGATACAGCTTGCCACCACAAGAAAGAACGAACACAAAGATCAATATGGTAATTTTAGTGTGATATGGAGAGAAGCAGAAGAGAACAAGAGAAAGAAGCGCTGGTCTATACTACGGGACCTGGTGGTCACCTGATCTCCAGGCTCTCACAGCCTTCTACAGACAAAAAATACACCAGCCGGCCCCTATTTCAAGGATGAACTCTCTCAAATTGGTTTTCCTGAGACCTGGGGAAGCAATCACAAATATAGACACATCAGTTCTCTTGGGCTCAAGGCTAAGCAATGACTGGAAGAAAACTTTCCCCAGAGAATCCATGTCTTCGCATGAGCGCCGCCCTGATTGAAAGTTTATATCACACCCGCTCGGAGCCAGGCCTGTTTGATGTCAAGGGACGGTGGCAAAGGGGGCAAGTGAAATGGAAAGTTGAATGCCACCGTTCCGAGCATCTTTTGTGGAACACATGTGAACAGCACAAGTCATATACAAAATCACCATATTTTACTTTTTCCAAACAGATGCAGCTACAACATTTGAAAATGATCGTCAATATGATGCGAGGTATCCTAGAAAGAGTAGAGAGACAAATGCTTACCAAGAATCCATGTCGGATAGACCACCAGGAAAAGGTTCTTCGCGGGACTGACACAATTCCGCCAGCGTCCGGAACGGTAGAGATCGAACATTTGCAACCCTCCCCGACATGCAAAATGAATCATCGGATTGGCGCGTATTCGCCCTCACAATTCGATTAGACCGGATTGAAATAGACAGTCTGCGAATCATCGTTCTGGATTGAGAATGATAGCATAAGCAGGTTTCCAGAGTAGCCAGTGCCATGAGGCAAACTTACATGACAATAACTATGAGGACAAAGAAAGCCACAATGGGAAGAACTAGGGCCAAAACTAGCTGCACACCCTTATTGGAGCTTGGAGAGGGTCTGGAAGCATCCCTGATCGCAGACATGGACCTGGGGGACATTGCTGCGTTATCTTTGGCCTCCGTACATCTAGACTGAGAGGGCAGCGAGGCTTCTCATACATGTAGGTTTGCAATGGATGCCTTTAAATTTCCGTCATAGCCGGGCGGGTATCAGTGACTCAAGCACTACCGTTCGCAGGTAGGCAATAGCAGGATCATGTCACGAAGATAATTAACTAATTAAGTAGAGGTTTCATAGTATTAGAATATCGTACCCTGGCACGCAAAACAGGCAAAGCCCGTCACCAGATGTTGCCGCCAAAATTCGTCTATGCTTCGGCGTCTAGACCGGAGAAATTGAATCTGAGGTGAAAAAAAGTGTTCGATTTTCATAGAACGAGAATATTAGGGTGTACAGACTCAGTAAAAGTCGGCAAAAAGAGTGCACTGAAACAAAAACCAATACCAAAAAATCATCATGCGTGTGAGAAATGTCCAAAATCATGAGTTACGATCAAGATGTCATAAGAGCATCCTGCCGAACACAAGAGATTGCTCCTCCCCGTGGTTTGACAACATCTTCTGCAAGGTGAGGAGTGATTGTTGCAGAATGCAGAGAATTTCGATTAACATAAACAATGCTAAGTAGGCGAAAAAGGACACCCGAATGGAGATAAGAATCGGCTGTGGAATATTCAAATCCCAGTAGCTGTTCAAAGCTCGTATAGCTTGGTGAAATCGTCTAGAGTACCGGCGCAGCTTGGTGGAGAGAAAAGGCTTCCTTTGAGAGTCACTGACTAAGGAGCGAGTTTTCGGACTCGATTTCTCGACCATTCTTGCTCTTGAAAAATAAAAGAGCAAATTTGATCTTTCGTTTGCCGAGTATAGATGAAAGAGATACTGTGAGATCTGACTTGAAGATAAGGCACTAGGACATGTCATGGTAATGCCAATTTTTACATACTCTGGTCAGTTAGCCTCGCTCATTTTAGTAGACTTGACAACACGACATAATCTAACCTGAATCCTATCGTTCCCGCCTACTTGACTGATGTGATGTCATTAAGAAATTGGGCCCGCGCGTGCCGGAACTCCAGTAGATTCACTAAATTGCAACCCTGACATTTTAAACTAAGGTTTTGAGCCCGGTGAAGCGTGGTGACGGCTCTTTGATAAGTATTCTCATAGAAAAAATGCCCTGAAAGCTATAATTTTGTATCAGATTGTTGATAGATATCCGAGAATTAACTTGCTTTGTACGGCGGTTTTCCCGGTATGGAGTTATTTTATGTAATTAATTGACCGCTCACAATCAGCTGACAGCAAACAATGACTATCTATGCAGCACGGAAAGTTATGTACTTACTCAGCGGGTAAACGTCGTTAGTGTACCGCATCTATAATGGAGGCCACCATTGGCATAGCACCTACCACGCAATAACCATGGTTCGATTTCGAATAAACGCGAAATTAACTTCTCAGGATAGATCGACTAGTTTCCTAGACCGGGTAACACGGAAAATGCGGAGAAGGCTGATCACGTCATCCAACTGAACTTCGGGGGGGGGGATAGAATCTACGATCAGACACAGATTACAAACTATTTAAATAGGATTTTGGCTGATTCGAAAGGGATTCGGAAGGGATGGTTTGCATATTACAGTTATCATGGCTGGCTATTACATCTATACACCATCCCTTACGGAACGTGGAGGGCTGACTGCCAAGGAGCTTTTGTATGCTCAAATGCCATGTTATTTCGGATGATGTCTTGTTTCAGAAATGTGAGGATGTGGCTAGCCAGAAAGCTATTTACAGAATAGTATTTTGCTGTAATACTAGTTTTACTTTGCATGCAGTAGTACTACATCGAACCACTATTTGCAAACAAGACTCCAGTCGATGGTGAATTTTAAAACTCATGAAATTTTTCATTAGTTAGTATAAGACTCAGCAGATCCGGTGCGACGTAGGAGTACGAAGCCAAGAATCAAGGGTGGGTGGGATGAGGAGACGGGAGAGGCATGGAATACCGATCCGCGCTTCCTCGATTAGAGAGTCCGTTCGCATCTCCAAGTATTCTATTTTACATGATCTTTGAGCATCAAGTGGTTTGACGATGCCGGTGGACCCAACAGTTCACCATTTACGCAACTTCTTTATTTGAAGTTACATCATTGAAATGCATAGGTACTTTCTGTTAATCGATTCAAGCTTTCCACCGGTCCGTGATTTCCGGGTCTTATGAGGGCCGCATTTGGAAGCATTTTCAAAACGGGGAGAATACATATAAGAAAGAAAGAGCCCCACTTGAGTGTTCAGCTCCGCATACGGCTGAACTTACCATGTTTCACTTTCAGAAATTTCGAGAAGTTTTCGCTACCCTTACCCACCGAAAGGCCGATGCCGAGCCCACAGAACAGAAACCGAAGAACGCAGATAATCGCTATAGCGAAGGGGTCTCTCCGGGTACAAAAAAACCACATTTACCCCACAAACATGAAAACTCCGACAACGACTACTACGGGGCCCTCTCCGAGGTAGCAGCCCCCGCGCCTGTTGAGAGACTGTCAGAAGCGGAACTGGCGCGCCATCCTTCCTTGGAGACAGGCTACGAAAATCCCAGGGACGATCCATATGGCTCATTGAGCGAAGTTGCAGCGCCCCAACCTGTTGAGAGGTTCTCAGAAGCGGAGAGGGCACGCCATCCGTCCTTGGAGCAGAGCCTTTCAGGGCATTGATGTGGATCTTACTTCACTTGCATTTCTTTTTCTTCTTCTTTTCTTTTGTCCTTTTTCGGTTCTTTATTTTTTGTCTACTTTTTCATGCTTTCATCGCTTTATTCTTTGACCTTTGATCAACACTTTTGACGTGTAATTTAGGTTCTTGCCGCTGTAAATTATTTCCCACCGTAAATAGTTTCTACGAGCTTTTACGAGAATGATGAATTAAAGATTAGTAGAATGCAAAGTTCCTACAACAAGGCCTTTCCATACATGTTCCCTTGCCTTTTGCCGACATAAAATCTGGTATACTTATCAGATTTCTTTTATCATGATAAGAGGCAAAATAGTTGCTCTTTGGCAGAGACGGCAAAGACGGCATTTTCAGTGCCTTCGAGTGTTGGCGGTCTCTCTACAGTATGGCGTGAAAGGTTCTGGCCGTTTTGATGAGCTAATAAGCATTATTGATGACTTCATTTCCAACCAGTCTTTACTTGCGGTTACCACTAATATGTATTCCCTTTCCGCAAAACCACCCGTACTCCCGACGATACGATCCCAACACCACTGTCATAAACAGAGCTCGAAGTCAGTGGCCTGCTAATATCCAGTAGTTGAGTTGATCTGTCTTAATATCATGCTCCTAAATATCTGGTCGAGAACTATTTTCATAGCATATCTTCCTTTCCGCAAATATTAGTCAGGGCCGTCAAGGTCGCACCGCCTCGAAAGCTCACGGCCAATCTAGCCGACAATTTAATGTGACGTAGGTGGCTATTTGTTATCACATAGTTCGGGCCAAGGAAAATATGATTGGTGGATGGTGTCTGCCGAGCGTTCCGACCGGGCTTGGTGGACGAAAGCGAAAGGCGCATGGCTTTCTAATTTGAAACGTCAAACATCATCTTTCTTTGAGTCCAACATTAGCAAGCTCTTCACGAACTAACCTCGGAAAAGTATCCAAACGATCGGTATATCATCGAATGTGATAAACTTTCCATGGCGTACTACGCAATCAATAGGAAATGGATCCACCCACACCGTTAGCTTGACTTTTTCAACACAAACAAGCACTCGCTGGGTTTCCAAGTATGATAAATTCCGAGTTCAAACGACTTTTGTAAGCTGATAATCTTCTCACAGTTTAACTATATCGGATTTTCTACCGTCCAAAACATATCTTGCAAAAACGCTGTCTCAAGGCGATAATAATTTTCATATCATGATTTCAAACGCCCAGGCGCATGCGAAATGCCACAAGGCCCAAAAAGCACTCCAAGAGCTAAGCGACGAACAAATGAAAATTCGGAGTACAGAGAGCCCTCTAGGTCTTCGTCCAGCAAATCTGCAGCAACTTGAAGAGAAAGCCGATTTGAAACTAGCACAGGACCTGCTTGGCTTCGATCATAGCCCGATAACATCATCAGATACCGAATCTCATCCATCGCCTCTCGTTGGCCTTTGTTCCAACCCAGTATTTACTCCAAAGACAATGCAGGACTTTGATCTTCTTCGTGAAATACTTGTGCCTATCATCAGCCAGAATTGTCAGAGAGACGACTATCCTGCGTTCATTCGGGATCTTACCAACCAGTTAGTAGCAGATCTTCCTATCAAGGAAATCAGAAGGATTGGGAGCTCATTGGTCAGTCTTTCTGATGAAAAGCCCAAGTCTTTTGGTGGAAGCGAGCGAAGGCCCCAGTTCTGACTCTGTGTTTGGACCTTCAATTTTCTTCACATGCCACACTTTTGAGATTTCCGGACAACTTTGCTCAACAAAAAGCAATTCCTTCAGATTGACAACCACCACATATGACTTGACTCCCATAAGGTACTCATTTGTCAAGGAGATAATTTGTAATTACCAAAATAAGCATAGAGCTAGTATCACGCTTCAATCGGGACTAGTGATATCTGCATCGTGATATTCTGGGGTCTAAATCGCTTTGGGTGATATTCCTATAATATACAAACGATGAATTTGTCTAGATGCTGTAGCTTATCTTACGTACACTAGAATCCCTACATGTCAGCGGCGTTGAACAACTGATTTGCGGATGTACAGATGCCCATATGGCTACAACTTGTTCAGCGGCCATTCAATGCTCCTCTATCTTGAAATAAGATGAGTGAATGGAGTTGATCAAGCTCAAGTTCGCGTTACCAACCGATGGCACTTGAAAGTCCAAGTTGAAGCATTGTTGATAGTCCTTGTGAGACGCACGAAAGAGGCCTAATACCCAAACAAAAGACGATCGTTGTAGCTATATTATACATTGATACTTGTTCAAGTCAGCATTGGAAACTGAAATATAAGTACACGTGCGAATTTGATCATATATCCATAAAAGTGGTTGATTATTCAAGACAGATGAAAGCGTGCGGTAGACCTCGGGAGACAGACGAGAACCGGTCATTTTATTTTCCACAATGAGCAGCCTCGGCCGTAGGTATGTCTGCAAGCCCATAACACCATGTTTTCATAGCTTTATCGAAGGAGTGATTTTCCAATAAAAAATTATTCTTGAGAGACTTCAGGTCGCATGTACGGCGGCTAAACCTGCCGAAGCCTCGGAAACTGATCGAATTGTTGCCAGGCTATCCGTCGTGAGGCCGCTCACGTGCATCATCTGCATTAGAATCTGTATGAGAGATAGGTTGCTCTAGCTCAGGGACCGATTCGTCACTTTCAACTGCGAGATCACCCTCTTCAGATTCCTCCCTTTCGACTTCAGCTTCCTCGACCTCACGAAGAGACTCATCGTGCTCCTCCACAGGGTCACAAACAAAGGTAGGTCCCGGGGCCCACCAGTGGAGTGGGTAGCGACGACGTCCCAAGTTGTTAATGATCAGAGCCCACCCGAGCATGATCAAAGATGACGCGATGACAGTTGGGAGATACCGCCATGAGAGGTAAACCACGTCCGCCAGAACAGCCGCATTTAATCCTGTTGCTCCAGCCCTGGAAAACGAATATTAGCCTTTAAATATCGGAGGGATATTCACTGAAGAAAGGGCTGCCAATATCGCATCATATCCGTCTCTGCTTTGGAAACAATAATGAAAAATGAATATACACCTACGGTGGATGAGCGGTTCCTGTTATGAGCATCACAAGCAGCGATGTCGCCATTGACAAACCTCCATTAATGAACGTAGAAGGATGGAAATGCGTGTTATCCAAATATCCTCTATACTGTCCATTCAGGACAAACAAGCGCGTGATGCATGTTCCTACCAGAGCGGAGAGGAAATGGCCAAGAACAAAGTTACGCGGTTGTGCGACTGGAGACTCGATCACCCCATAAAGAAGGACCGCGGAAGCACCGAAGGACGTGATGATGATCGGCGCACTGTAGACATCCCGAAACGCGGTACTAGTGGACATGATCGCTTCGATCAACAAAATTCCCCCAAAAGCTCCAATCCAGGCGAACAGCCATGTTTCATATTTCAACGGAATTTTGCTGAGCCACGAAAAGGGTGGAAACGGCAGAGGAGAATATGGTGGACTGGCGTCGGGGGCTCGATAACCAGTGAACCGCGAGATGATCTCGGGCAGCTGGCTTCGGTAGTCACGACGGAACTTGAACTGCTGCGACCAAGATCTTCGTCTACCCTGAAAGCCGCCATTCTGGTGACCTGCTTTTTCCCGGAAGGGACTCATTCTGTGTTCTCGATTATTACAGTCAAGATGTCTAGACAAAGAAAGCGAAAGTTGTGAACAGAACCATGAATATTGAGTCTACTTGACTTTTTATTTATAATAATAGCTCTCCTCTCAGCTGAAACGGGATAGATGAAGGGTATGAAGTCATCAGTCACGCCCACCGAGCCAGTGAAGGGGCCATTTCATCGGAACGGACGATCCGGAAGCAGGCTGGTCTTTAAGCTCAATGAGCGGTGTCATAGACACTTGCCGGCATGCAATACGTCAAACTTGGTTGTCGTGACAAGGCACACGGCTGAATCCTTTCTCTCCTCACAAGGAGGGGTTTGAGTTTATAGAAGCTGTTGATCATAGGTAGACCTTCCGGCTCGGAAATAATGTTGCCTCCCTTTCTTGTTTTTGACGGTCGAGAAATGCAGCTCCGACCACTCTGTACTAGACTGGGGTGTGGAGATGAGGGTAAAGCAGTAAAACGCGAGTTTGCCATTGGTGCTATCTGAGTCCACAAGGCTGCTCTAATAAATTATCACCTATATCTGCCTGTTGATTGGGCTCGCCAGTCTATGGAACAGCAAAGCCTCTTTCGTACACCGTTGTCAAAAGCGATGGACGTGATTAGTGATGAAAAAGCGAAGGATTCACAAGGCGACGCGATCAACGGAGAGAACGAGTGGCGAGCACCTCATGTTGGCCTTACAAAAACTGTGGGGGTGTTGCCCCCCGCGCGGTCATCATGAGGACGATAATAAAAGACCAACCAAAATTTAAATGCTTCTTATTCCTTTGATTATCGTAGCAAATCATGACATGGATTTATCTTAATACGCAAATCATTACACGGAATTATCTTGAATAAACGATGATCAGGTCTATCAACGCTGCTCAGAGATTGGATTCGCGGGGAAATCCAACTGTTCAACAGAACTAGCCGCGACGTTGACGCATGCCGGATGTTGTTTGCAGACATGAATGTAGTTTCCTAGTCTTGCGACAGCGCTAAAGGGCCAGTTCCTTCTAAAATGAGAAAAGGAGAATTGCAGCTTTCATATTGCGCTGGTGGCAGTTCTTACTTCGACCCACCCTAGTCCAGTCCCTCGCATTTTCCCGCCATAACCGGCCGGCTGTCCGGAGCATAATGATTGCGCCTGCTTAGCCTCCCTTTGTGTGAACCTCATGCCCATACCCGCCAGAATCAATAAGACAGCGAACTCGAGATTGTGCGTGGTTAAACAGTGATTACGAAATGACGTGTTGAGCAACATGTGCAAAAGCGGATTCACCGGTTGCAACTCATTGTTACGATTCCCCAGGGCTGAAGCATCTTATGTAGCTTAGATGGATACCAAGCTCATTATTGAATTATCAATTAAACCGTTATCATTTAAATTCAAGTTGGATAGGTGTGCACAAAGGCGCCGGGTTGATCGCTATTCCCTGAACCACGAGTTCTGATGTCGGTCGACCCCATCAGAACAAAACGGTGACGATTACGCAGGACAGCTCCTCTTGGCATGAACTCTGCAAGGCGGAAATCAATTGGCGTAGGGTTTTGATCACTTCCATCAACACGAACAGTCCCAGGTAGAGGAAAATTGACACATGGATGGAAAGGAGTATAGACGGTGAATTTCTCAATCCCTTTCGATTGGGGCTATCATGCCTCTTCCTGGTGTCAAGTCGAGGCCAGACCAACTTGGAAAGCCTCGGGGTATTTTGCCGTAGCCTGCCGAAATAGAGCGGGTTACTTTTTCTGGAAACCCCCACGAGGATCTCAAGGCCTCTTGAAACAATGATTGGAGCCGAGCTTCCACAGAAGGTGCTAAAGCTGGCGGTTCCAAAGTTTTGATGAGGTTACAATGGTATATGTTTTCAAGGTGCTGAGACAATTTACATATGCGAACTTTTAGCGAATCCCTGGAAGACCCAGGAATCTACATTGAATATATAATGTTCAACCTAGTGCTAAGTTCTCATCGATCATCAATGACCTCAGCATGGCCTGGTAGCCGACCCGCGCGAACCGACACTTCAAGTTTGGGGTAATGATACAACGCAACGATTATCATAATGCTATTTTAAGTGTTCCTTGATATTTACATGTCGATGACAATTACTTAATTAATGAGAAAGCTAGCATAGACTTATTTGATAAGCTGACTTTATTAATCGCTTAGTAAATAATACCCAAGGACTCCACTACTTATGACTGCGTTCGGCAGTAGCTAGAAGCGTTCATGTTTAGCCGTGGATTTTACTTACACACCAAATTTTCAATACCTCAAATTTCCCTCGCATAATTTCATTCCCACGTCGATCGCGTGTTCTCACACGATCGGGCTGATCAACAGAGGCTGCAGTCTTTCCCCGAAGGTGACGAAGATAGTAAAATGTCTCGTTACAGAGAGGGCATCGCGTGTCTCTATCACAAACCCAGGCGTCTATACAAGGTCGGTGAAAGAGATGATCGCATGGCAGTCTTCGTAGAGAGCAAGCCGTTGGCAAATCCTCTAGGCATATTATGCACACATCTGGCACTGGATATCGGCCTTGAGGTATGTGAGTCGTTTTTCAATTCTTTCTGCTTTTGGTTTCTCACTCACCTGAAAATGATGGGGGGGAATGTTTCGACACGGGGCGCTTGCGTCGTATCCACCTCGTATTTGGATGAATACGCGTTAGACATGGTGGTTGGGGACTGCTGAAGCAGACTATAGTGATGATTGTTTGGTATCTCGTGGATGTATAAAAGATGGTGGTAGGTGGCTGACGTGAAATTTGGGGTTGGTAAATTTGAACGCTTTTGCGGAATTGATGTCATAGCTCAGCCACTTTCCCGCACGGCCTTAGATCAGCCAACGGAAGGGAGATCAATCGGCACAAAATGCGTAACGTAGAAGGAATATTGATGCTAATTGATAAACCACCCTGATCATCTGACGGCGAAATGGCTTTTCGTGTTCGCGAGTGGCGCTTGACAATCCGGGAAGAACGGGAAGTACGGAAGAGAAAGATGATTTAAAAGCTAGCGGAAGATCGGAGTCTCCCATCCAGTCTAGGAAACGCTTGTACCTCTAGTTTTCAACCAGCTAGTTTGCTTAGGTTCATTTTCTATGGCCGACTATTACGTACATGCGCCATCCCCGACTGAGCCGGGGGGCTTGACGGCGAAAGAGCTCTTGTACGCTCAAATGCCATGCTATTTTGGTATCCAGGACTGTACAACTGGTAGGCATCCTCAAGGATAATAACTGCAAAATCGGCTCTCTTATTTTTTCTAATATCGGGCAGACCCGGGTACTCTTCCAGATAGCTGTGCGTTATGCTGGGACACTCTTGGTATCGAGTCTTCCTACCGCTGCCTTCCATGCGGTCACATTTTTCATTTGCCTTGTATCGACCTTTGGCTTCGGTTTCAAGACGCCAGCTGTCCGTATTGTCGACGCACATTTTATCATTTGAGGCGACCACGGGTGGTCTATACCTTTGAAACAAGTTGGTTTCACGATCAAGAAGTCTCTGTGCGTTGGAGGCGTTTCAAGTCATGGATATCCAGGAAATTACTTGCGGACTGATCCAATTCTCTTATAACAACCTACACATCTCAGGAGATATTCTATTGGGTAGGACAAGGATATCATTTATTTGTAACGGGCATCAGCTCTTTAACATGAATAACGCTTCTTAGGAGACAGGTGATGCTCTGATTTGTCGAGTCTCTTTAAATTCAGGAAAGTTGGATACCAGCCTCGCTGGTAGTGTTCGACTAAGGCGCTAAGCCAATTATCATTAGAAATTATTCATGATGAATGAATTGTCGCCTTCAGTAGCAATCTAACTTGATTCAAATTTTTCGAGATAGTTGGTCTTGTTGCTCGTTGTTTCCGCTTCTCAACAATTGCGGTAGCTGATGGAGAATTTGGGGGAATAAATAGTTCACGCTGGGGCAAAGATTGACAAAGATTTGTCAAAATCATTCCAACCCTGAGATAATTGTCAGCCAAAATCGTTCCTTTTTTTTCCTTTCTCTTTTTCGGCGACTAAGCCGATTTCTGGGATGGGCTACACGAAACGGGATGTGATAGAAATACTCTTTGGCTTTTTATCTCACATGCATCTACTCAACCCCATCCTAGCGCTCATTTTCGCTCTTTATTTCGGTTATGGAGCCCTCGGTATAATCAGTAATATCCTGCCGTTGAACGTCTTAGTCGGTCGGTACTAGGAGAAGCAGGCTGCTGACGTCCTTGCTTGATTTTGCGTTGCGTGCTATGGTTGTTCGTAATGATTAGGACGAGATCTTGGCCCGTAAGCTGGCTGCCAGTGATGCCGTGGTCACTGAGGAAGGCTCAGTTAGTCCAGCTGACGTCCGTTTGATCGTGGCTACTCCAAGCCCGCAAACTTCAAGATCTACAAGGAGTCTCTGAAAAAACCAAGCAACGATACTTTTGAGGAGAAGAATGATGCCCATGAGGCTCATTCCGGTGTATGTCTCCTTGTTTGTGATCAGTCTACCGTCTCTAGTAGATCTTTCGCTATTGACAAGCATATGACCGATGTCTGCTACTCTACCACCGGTTGCAAGCGTGGCAAGGCCTACGATATTGTCACTACTACCGCCCGCCAATCCTTTGTTGGTAAAATGGCTATTATTGTTCAAGGCGCCAATAGCCAAGGTTATTTTGCAGCTATCATGGATAACATCGGCGCCACACTGCTTGTTGTCGTTATATTTGGATCCTCGCTGGTGGGCCGGTGGTTTCTACCGTCACCTGGAGGTCGCTACGCCCGAAGATTCCAACAAACGTACCAAAGCCGTCGAGGACGATGAGTAAGGTACTTCTTATACACTTTTCCATGCTCTGAACCGGATACTACCCGAAGCTAGTTGGTTCACTTTTCTTATGTATCCCTTCATATATAATACAACGCACAGTAAATGTGCGTGACTGACAACCAGTCGATCATCTGAATAATCATTCATCCTGAGATACTAATACCGTGGTGGGAAACCCCCCTCTCCCCCAGGACCTTTTTATTCAGACCTTTTCACCGCATAATGTAATTTTACGCGTGACAGTGATGACCTTTCCACGTTGTCTATTTCCTCGGCGAATAAGTGATTTGAGTTTATTTGCATTAAGTCGTATCCTACAGTGGTTTTACAACTCATGCGCCTCTGTAGCATCGTATCCCTACCACCGACCTAACCGCAAGTAATATCCTCTGCCTTTCAAAACTCTGCCTGGTTCCCAGCCATGACTTCTAAATAAAAGCTGCTTTCTGTCATGAATTTTGTTATCATCTGTGCCAATCTCGGGGGACACGAGCTCTATGAAATGGGCTTCTTGACAAGGGAGAATCTTCTAAAGTTGACATCGAAATGAAACGGTGGTTGAAAGGCTCCACTCTTTGAAGGATTGGTGCAGGAAGAAACTTCATAGTCAGAGCGAGGCAATGGGTTGCTCGCGCTCTCATAACGAATAACAGCTATGGGGAAAATTGATATTCCCTAATGGACGATTGTCTGAGGTTGTTAACCGCGTAGCAACGTAGATAAAGTGCGGATAGATATTTGAGCCTCTCCAATCTGGTGTGGACAGCAGCGTCATCGGGTTGAATCCAGTCCGCCAAGCTGCATTCCTAGTATACTGAGAACAACACAGTAGAAATTGTTTACCACATCAAACTCATATCGAAAAATATGTCAACCTCTCCGCCTTTGCCTTCGAATGAGATGGAAATGTGGGTCTGCAAGTAACTTTCAATTGTCGGTATGTCTGTTTATGGACTCATCTGTTTCGAGCAGTTTTGCATCCCCATCGTCACCAGAACTGAAACTGTAAGTTCGCCACATGACGTTGCGCCAATATTCGCCTATTCGAATCAGAAAGCGTCAGAATAATTGGACTATGAAGAACCTCAACAGAGAATAATCAACGTATAAGAACGAGATTTTTTTTACCGGTTTGGTGTCCCTGTGGATCCACATGCTCTGTAATGTAATGCGCAAAAGTACCGTGTGAGACAAGCACAATATTCTTCTCGGGTCTTTCTCGCAGTAGCCTCCTCAATCGGATTGCACGTGCCCGGAGCGCCTCTACGCTGGTATTGTTTAAACTTTTCTTCTCATACCACCTCTCGCGAAGGAGAGAAACATCCAATGTAGTTCCAAACTCTGAGACCAGCTTGAATACATCGCTCCCTGTGTCGCACGGTGCGTCGGACGACTCTTGGGCGTCTGCAAGAGCGAGAATTTTCAATCCTTTCCGAATCTCAGGTTCAAATGCGAGGTTTGTGGTTTGAATCGTCCGACGAAGTGGAGATGCGCAGAGCAAGTCGGTACAGGCGTGATAGGAAAAGCGCTGGTTGAATTGCCGGCTTTGTACAATGCCTTTAGGTGTCAAAGACGGGTCCCGAACTAAGGCATTCGGATGATCACGGGGGAGCTGGTGAAAGCCTTCTGCATGGCGGATGATATGGATAATCTTCGCCATCGTGATTTCTGTGATAAAGAATAAGCAGTAAAAGAGTGTATAATTGGAGGTGCTGCAAACTTTTCGGTAATATTTGTGCATCTATTTGTCGTTCGTAGAAAAGGCAATCCATGTTTATTTGGATAACGTTTGTCCATTGATATGATATATTCACACCAAGTAACGTCATTGCTCAAATTGAACTACCGACGTGGTCTCTGAAATTGGAGAGTTACCCCTTCCCGAGCAAGCAGGCCCACGAAGAAGTTCTCGTTCGACCCAGTTTCCCCGCCAAGAGACCGGTTAGGACGGGAAAACCGGAATAGACAGGAATGTCCGAGCAACTGTTAATTCCCCGCTGAATGCCTCCTCTAGTCCGCCTGAAGGAATTGCACATTACGTCATAAACCAAGATAGCTTGCCAAATTGTCTAAAAACAGATCCATGATGACCTGGCAGAAGAGCAAAGTTAGATACTGATGGATGAAGATAAGAGCAAGCGCTTAGTTACATTGGCAGTGCATGAATTTGGAGCTACAGTACCATGCGTTTCAACTATCCCCTGATGGGTCATATTATTAGTTCTTTTGAAACCACTTGCTCACACAAATACGGTCTAGTGGTGGCACTGGACAGTGCCAAAATCAGTGTCCAAATACACCCAGACCGACTGCTTACTCGACTGGCGAGGATTTTATGTACCATGACAAATATGCTACGTATCATTGATAAATTTCCAAGACGTGCTCTCAATAGCAACTAATGCTTATTGATAGCTCTGGCTCTGCACGTTTTCTAACAATTCGTCCTCACAATTCCCGTTCATGTAAGCTTGGATTGTAAGTGACCCATGGGGATTTCCGTGTTTTCCGGGCCCAAACCGCTTTTCTCAGCACCCAGGGTTTGCCGACCTGAGCCGACCCGTGGGGCAGGTTCTTTTGTGGGTGGGTCGAGCATTGGGCGGGCTGGCGAAGTCAAGCCACGAACGCAGCACTTGGCGTGACGTCAATGATGTCAAGATCAACAGTTCCACGTTGTTGCCCTCATTGTGCATTACCGTCTATTCAGCTCCTACGATTCCAATACAAGCGTGATTTCATGTGTACCCTTGAGATTACTCTGACGTAGTTGATGGCTCAGGGAGCCATCGGCTCGGAGCTTTCCTATAAGTAACTATCATTGCTTCTTTCACCCGTTCAGTACGACATTATCTTGACCGGATCCTCCTACCTGCCCTCTGATCTTGTAGTTATCGATTCGCTCTCCCCTGCCCTGCTCTTTAGCTTGTTCATCATAGCATACCTTACCCTTTACCAGTACATACCGTCGACGACCTGGTACTCCAGAAAACATGGAAGCAGTCAACAAGGTGATCAACATGGCCTCGCACTCCATTCGGGATGACACTGATGTCCAACCACAGAATGCCGAACAATCACAGGACGAACGTATCTCCGGCGTGCAGAGTCAAGGCGCCGCAAATGACTCGTACGACGCCGGCAACCGAGACGGTAAGTGCATCTTGGATTCATGTTCCGTGGAGAGCCTACTATCTCAGATGGCCTGCAATACATGGAAAAGCACCCGGTTTCTAGGCCCCAGGCTTTCATTCAGCCCACACCATGACCGCAGTAAGCTGACTATCTTCGAAAACCCAGAACAACCCGACGCCTCTACCTCGAATGCCAACACCGCACCACAGGAACCTAAGCCGGACGGCCAGTCCTTGACGAGTGTTCCTCAACAAGCCGCTAGCTCTACTTCCGATAGGCCCTCTGCTACCCCCACTACGGATATGGGTTCCACTACCGCCACGGGCTCGCCGAACACCGCTGCCGCCGGCTTATCCAATTCTACCGTAGATACTAATACCGGCACCAAGGCTGACGATGGTAAGAAGCAACGCGATACTGATAACACCCACGTCGATGAGAATGCCCAAAAACAGGTACACCAGGGCCGTCGCGGGACAGCTGCGATCATGGAAGATCACGGCGTTAGCAGAGAGACGCTGAAGGGGCCTCAAGGTCCGGCGCCGCACCCAGCCGCCGATTTTGAGAAGGAAGGCCGGAAGGAAACAAAGGATGAACAGCCTGCTGGGTCGAGTAGGTCACTGGCTTTCTTGGTATGAAATTATAGGCAGCGCTGATGATAACGTAGAAAGCGAGGATTCAAAGAATGGCGGGGGATTTTCTGGAAGCAATGAAAAGCAGGGCGTAATGTCGAAGATGAAGGAAGGTTTGACGAAGGTTGCTCATCCGCATCATGGTAAATAGCCTAGGCAGTAAGGATATCCCTGGATATTGCATGGCTGCATTGTTTCGTATCAAGATGGCTTCTGTGATTTAATTGATGATTGATGTTCAGTACTTCCTCGGCTTAAACCGCAATGTATTGCTTGGCTCCCAACTAACTGGTGGGAGTTCATACTTTGTGTACTGTATCGTCAGTGCTAGAGATAAGAAGCGAGCTAGAGACAAGAAGGCGAAATTTATGTCAACCCGTCCTGTAGTGGAAATACTCTTGGAGCCGGGTTCTAGAAATGAGGCCTGGATTGCCCGGGCGAGATGAAGGTATGGTATCTTTTGTGATGAATTTCCGCTCGAGGCAGACTATAGGTGGACTATCTAGCAAACATCGTGGCGTCTGACGTTTTTCCACGTTTTCCGAGGCACTCGCTGGCGATAAAAATAAGGCATTGCTAGTGCACTGTCTGTGCTGAGAGTACATCGTTTCAAGCGTGCCGATGCTCACCAGTTTTCAGAACGTGTTCGACTCAAGATCAAAACAAAAGAAACACAAGCAAACCCTTCTTCATTCCCTGTTCAACTCTTTTCTCATGTCGCGCGGTTCATACACCAAGCGACCTTTGCCTTTCGAGGTTTCAATTACAGGCTTAGATAGCTGTTTTTCAATACCACAAGCTGGGGGACTATTGGGAACGACCCTCCCGCTCTTTACCCAATTGATGACTAGACCCTGAAATCACTCTTCGAAACTCTACGTCATTTTCTGTATAGCAGCATAGTCCTTGCTAGCAAGGAGATCAAAATTCATGACTGGTGTTCCATTGCGCTGCGCTCTAACCCGACCCGACCGCCACAGACCTTATAAAACCTGAACCAAACCCTGACTCTCTGCACGATTTTGAAATGTTCCCATTTGTTTCGAGAACCGCGTCAAATTTCCCTCTCATTTCTTCCTCTTCCGTATAAAAGGAGTGGTAACCATGTTTGTAAAGACCGTTGCACTGAAGAACACGAAGACGAACATAAGCATCGTATCGCAGCGTGAATGCTTGGTAACAAATGCATGATAGATGAGAAGCGCACTATACAGGAGACATAAACAACAAAGCAGTTGCTCAACCGGTGGGAAATCAATGTTGGGAAATCCCCGAGAGGCGGTCTTCCAACGAAGGGTGGCGTGCCATTTCTTCTTCTGTGAGCCTCTCCACAGGCTCAGGGGCAGCTATTTCACTGAGGTTCCCGTAAACGTCACCCCTGGGGTTTGCATATCCTTGTTCCAGAGAAGGACGACGTGCCAATTCTGCCGCCGTAAGCCTTTCGACGGGTTCAGGGGCGGCAATCTCACTAAGTGCTGCGTATGGATCAACGTCCGAATCCTCTTGGTTTTGTTGGATGGTTGAATCTGTATTAGGGTGGACAGGTTTGTCTTTATCTCGGGCGCTGCGAAGTGGTTTTACCTGCTCGCATTGTGATCGTCGGTGCGTAAGAAGGGCAAAGCATGATCGGAGCTTCTGCAAGAAGGCCATTTTGTCACTGATAAAAGGTAAGAAGTGAGATGTGTGCAATTAACCAGTGCTATTTCGCGCCTTTCACGCTTTCCACGCCCTGCCTGTCTAGTGAATTAGGCCGGTTAATTTCACACCTTCCGGGTTTGCCGATTATTCATGTCAGAAAGTCATGCTTTCACCAAAAGCTTGTTACTGGCTGTTGAAAAGTAAGGGACGTCTAAAATTCCCATGAACAGTTGAAAAGTACAATATGGTTATTTGAGCCTCCCGTCTTAGCCGCTTTGCTCGGACCACATGCTCCGCCTGCGCCGGCGTCATTCTGATTCGATTTGGCCGTCTGTCAAAGCTAATCGTGCCGTTGCTTGGGATTCAATTCCCGTGTCCCCGTATTCGTACCCGGGAAAGGGGAAAGGTTGATTTGTCTTTGACGATCAACAGTGTGAATGATACAAATAGGCCGAAAGAAACCGACAAATTTCTCGATATTTCTAATCTCCCATTCATGTTCATACAAATTTCCTCGTTCGCTACAACAATGAAATTAACTTCAACAAGTTTATTGTGCCCTTCAACTCTCGGGTACGCGATTCTTGGTTGTGTAAACTTGGATTGTACATATGTAACCAACGGGGATTTCCGTGTTTTCCGGCCCTAAACCGCTTTCATCGGCTTCTAAATAATATTGTGCCTACCCGAAGGTGAGATCGCACAGTGTTCATGCAAACACCTGTAACCCATCCCCTGGGAACTACATTGAGAACATCCATCAGCACATACGAAATATGGGGGGCAACCAAGCTACTCAAGTAGATCGATTCATCGTGAGTGACCGACATGTCGACATCCACATTACTGCGAGGGTATCCGATTGGTACTGGGCAGTCATGTCGATTATGGGTTTCACAACGTTAGCGATCCTGGCGCTGGGCTTCTTGAGGCCCGCAAACAGTCGAGTGTTTTTCTATATTCTTTCTGCTATGGCCTTCATGGCGACCATTGAATACTACAGCATGGCATCCAATCTTGGCTGGGTTCCCATTGATGTACAGTGGCAGCGCAGCAGCGGATTAGTCTCTGGCGCAAATCGTCAAATCTGGTGGGTCCGCTATTGTGGCTGGTCAGTATTCCTTATCCGCAACGGTTCTGGCTATATTTCCCTTACGAATATATAAATTAAACCAAAATAGGTTCTTAATCTGGCCATTACTATCATTGGCCTTACTCTTGACGTGTGCTGCTCCAACTGTTCATATCCTTTGGGCATGCTTTCTGAGTTGCGTGATGGCGGCCATGGCTCTCATTGGAGCCGTAGTGCGCAGCATTTACAAATGGGGTGAGTGATCGTATGCTGATCAAGTGCGCACTGCTGACCATCTCCATCGTTAGGTTACTTCGGCTTCTGGGTTTTTTCATGGTTGATGCTAGGTTATTGTCTTGTGTGGGGACCTCGCCCTTACGCACGAGCCCTAGGCCGAAAGGTCTGGCGAGTCCACACGATTTGTAGCATCTGGATCTGGTTTCTGTGGATGTTTTATCCTGTATGCTGGGGTCTCAGTGAAGGTGGCAATGTGATTACGCCGGACTCCGAGTTTATCTTCTATGGCATTCTGGACTGCTGCTTGATACCATTAACATGTGGAATTTTTCTTGGTCTCCACTGGAAAATCGATCCACTCAACCTTGGACTCTATATACGCGGTTTTTATGACCCGATTGGCGGTTATGAACCGGTCACTGGAAGCGGGGCCCTCCAGGAGAAAGCGGACGAGTCAGCCAACCGACGAAGCATTCGGAATAAATATCACGGAAGCAAATCAGGAGGCAATTGGAACGTGCCCTCAGATGCACGTTGAATGGTATTTGAGCGGACTGGTAGTATCGGAAATATAGTCGTGCTAGGGTCAGAGAAAAACCAGTGGCATCAAACACTCAGTATTTTTTATCCCCCAGGCGATTGGGGAGTATAATATGAACCGAGACATTCGGATGATCACGGGGAAGCTGAAGCACTGGATGTAATATTACGAAGGGAACTGCAGTATATTTTGATGTGACTCGTGGTAGAAACTCCATGAGTAGTAGCGCGAATTTTCGTATCGAAGCCGCTATGAAGGCTGGAGCGGAAATAAGTCTTGGGCTAGGACAAACTAGATGATATCATGTGATTAATTTCATGGGTGCCATTGATGGCTTTCAGTTCGTGCCGTATTGAGGAATGGTACCTGCCATTTTGAACATAAACGCGATCCGAGGCCCGGTGACAACGTTCGACGAGGGTTTATGAGAGCAATTTTATAATTTTCGTCGAAGAGAGAACAATGATAACTACTCAAATCACTGGTACTTCCAAAAAGTGCACAACACTACTCTTATTTTCTCCATTCAAGACCACAAGTCTCCGCTGTTAATAAGTAAAGTTGGTGAGATAACTAATTCATCAAAAATTGGTTTAGAACTTCCGTCATATGATCCCCTTTAGTGGTCGGGTACAAAACCCCTCAAATGGAATGCCTAAATCCGTACTGAAGATTCATGCATTCCAGGCTGGCCTCATCGATGTAATTCTCAAGCTATGGTTTCCGGAATGGGGATTTCACCGAGTGGGAAGCGTACCCAAGTTGTTTGAGGCATCATGAGGCCAGACGCTCCAGCGTAGAAGGCACAAAATGCGCAAATAACAGCAAATGCTCCACCTGCCTTGTTCGCCCGAACGCTGGGAACAGGATGCTCAGTAGAGATGAAGTTTGCGATGCTGAGGAATAGATACGCAAGAACAAGAAAGAAAAACACCAGCAGGATTGCTATGTTCGTACGAAGCGCTGCAATCAGAAATATCAGGGTCAGAAAACCCCACAGGATTAGATAGATTCCGACAGCAAAGGTGTATGAACGCGTCGTCTCGCCACCATAGGCCGATTGAATGCCCAGGTATGGAAGCAAATACATTGCGTAGCTAAGCCAGAATGCCCCATATGAACAGTGCACCGTTGTGCCAAATGTATTGCCGACTCGAAACTCCATGATTCCAGCGATGAACTGAGCAGTGCCCCCCATGAAAGTGATGAGACCGAATGCAGCCTGGTTCGGGCCAGTTTTTCCTTCGGGATTCTCGTTTGGTAGCCTGCCAAATGTCTCGGTCAGAAGTTGTACGAAATATGTGAACAGGAAATCAAACTTACCCGGCCCCGCATTCATATAAACCGACGACAAAGGTTGTGATGGCAAAAGCAAGCAAGCCCAGTGGACCAGGATTTGCTAGCTTCGTGTACTGAGGCTGAAGGACTTGCGATACCATTGCGCCCTGCCGAGTCGCAGCAGCTGGATGAACATTTTTCACTGCTCCATTCACCGGTGGATTGTCCAAGTCCGCGGTATGGCCGGACATGCTGTATATCCTATCTTCATGAGGGTGGTGGTTTTCTGACGAGCTACCTTGATTTTCGACCATAGTGGTAATATAGATTCGCTGCTCTTTGTCCTCTCCGCACTTGCGATGAATAAAATTTGATGCGACGCTTGCCTTGGACCAAGTAACATGGATGTATTATACTCCGTCCGGATTGACCATGATGTCATTCATTGTGCTCCGAATCAACCTCCTCCCATTTATCCATCATTGACTTTACACTAAAGCCCGCAACGAAACTTCAAATCGAGTTTTGACTTCGAGAACCCCGCAGATGGGCCATGGAAGATATATGCATTGGAGCAGCAGGTAGAGCGAAGCCTCTTTGGCGGGTTCCCACAAAGTATTCACTTCGATTGTTAACTTAATTAGCTAGGTTCATGAGCGCGTTTCAATTGTGCTTGCCAACCGGAATTTACTCGCATTTTCCATTACGGGGTATATTATTTAACTTTTCAAGGAGAAAGTAATGCTTGTATCACAACGTACTAATAATGATCGTAGGATAGGTTTGAGTAGAAAAAGACCAAGAGCTGCGTTTGGTTGCCGAATTGTTTCCGGGAAAATCATTCCGTGTTTGCCGTGAGTGCCGGGATGGGGAAAAGCGATGAATATTCAGGATGACATAGTTGCCAGATCGAGTCACTCTTTCGGGGATTGTATGTCTCTTCCATAATTATTACCTCTAGAAGTTTTTATACTGTGTTGTTCTTAGCATACTAGGAATGCAGCTTGGCGGACTGGATTCAGTCCGCTGACGCTGCTGTCCACGCCATATTGGAGAGGCTCAAATATCTATCCGCACTTTATCTACATTGCTACGCCCCTAACGAGCTCAGACAATAGTCCATTTGGGAATATCAATTTTTCTCATAACTGTTATTGGTTATACGAGCGCGAGCAACCCATTCCATCGCTCTGACTATTTTCCTGCACCAGCCCTTCAAAGATTTAGCCTTTCAACCACCGTAGGATACGACTTAATGCAAATAAACTCAAATCACTTTTTCGCCGAGGAAATAGACAACGTGGAGAGGTCATCACTGCCACGCGTAAAATTACATTATGCGGTGAAAATACCCAAGTGGCTTCGAACGGACCATCAAATTCTGGGAAGTCCCGGATATAGCGGTAACGCGAAATTAAATCGTGATTAGAAGATAAAAGCATTTTTTAAAATCTCCACACTTTCCAGTCGGTCGAAAAAATGGGACTGCTGAAGCAACTCCACACTACCTTCAATTCTTGCTTCGGTCGGAAGAAACATCCCAACTCGCCAGAACCACCTCCCTATTCGAGCGGTCATTCCTCTGACAATAACTTTCGGTCGAATACGAATGCGAATCAAGATACCGAACAATCTGGCGGTGACAACTTCGGAGCTCTCACTGAGGTTGCAGCCCCAGCGCCAGTTGAGCTCGTTCCAGAGGCAGAATTCGAGCAACGTCCTTCATTGGAACAACGATTATCCGATTCCGCGAAGCGGCTTCATGACGATGACCAAGGTGAATACGGTTCTTTAAGTGAGGTAGCAGCCCCGGAGGTTGTGGGCAGGCGATCAGATAAGGGGACCGCCCGGCACAGGTTCCTTGAGCAATCGCTGTATCAAGGTGCAAGTGGATAAGGCCTGCTCTCATACAAGCAGTGTTTGGTCGTCTGTGTGTTTGCAGCATGTCGATATTGATGGTTTCTCTCAAGTCAGAGCTCTTTGTTGACATTTGCAATTTGGGTGGGTAGAACATGTCGCTTGGAATGTTGTAAGGATTTGTTGATTTCAGATACCCTCCTAGGTAGAAATCACTAGTACCACGTTCAACAAACTCATGGGACAAACTTGGAAACAAATAGCAAAACGAATGGAGCAAAATTGAAACAGGTGTAATCCAGAAAGACGTATGTGAGGCTTGTATGGGGGCATAAGACGAATGGAAAAACTGCATACCTCATGAGGCTCTTCCAAGCTTGAAGGTAAGCAACATGGCGTAGCCGATGCGACATCAACTTCTCAATCTTGGACGTGCGGGTACCTCCAAGCCTCTACGCGCGACACTTGTAACACATACGAGCACGGTATCGCACCGCATCCTTGTTGGTTCGGGGATACTAAAATCTCTCAGGTTCTCCGACCAAATTGACTGTGTTGCCTCCATGGCCCACTGCGCTCGACCTGCCCGAACAACATGCTACCCCCTTCCTCGCTCCGAGCCAACAACGACGCTCACAAAGTCCACTTGCCACGTACTGAAAAGATCGAGCAAAATGGTGCTTGCTGCGGTAACTTATACTCCCTCACCGTTACCCACAGTGGATTTTTGAGTGATCCCCTGCACCCGGCGCTCAATCTCTGCATAGCCCACCGCTCACGCTACAACTAATTTTCATACAAGGCGTACGCTTAGAGATGAGGGCGAACGCTCATAAATGTCACTACTGCAGCCATGTGGCGCTCACACTCAACAAGTTGTCCCAGACCCATGAAGACCTATCCCATTGACCGCAAGGCCGGTTTTAGGATCATTTTGACCGGTCCGGGAGCTGAAGTGCTCCTAGAATTCTTATTCAAGATCCCAGGATTAAATTTGTACTTTCGGGGATCCATTTGCGGTATCCTTGGATCAGGTACTTTGGTTTCGCGTGCAGGCTTCTGGACCGAGCGGGTTACGAGACGACAGATCCTGGGACCTCAACCAGTGATTGCTTGATTGATTGATTGATTGATTCATAGGCTGTCCCAGCCGCCCTAAGGCAGCTATGCAGCGTCCATCTATAAGTACAGGTGTCGCCGCCCTTGCTTTCCGACAAGAAGCCGTCCCTCCCAGAACCGCTTCCTTCATCCGCTACGGCTGCTCGCCCATCACTCATAATCTAATGGTTATTCTGTGTCTGTGTACTTGTCAGGCCTTTCCTGGCCCTCCTCTTCTTCTATATACCAAAAATCACACGTCTTCGCTATGTCTATTTTAGTACCGTGGATGGCACTGCTCGAAATTGTCCCAGCAGTCCAGTCCTCAAGACCATCTTTGCTGCTTGTACTGCCATTTACGGGCTACACAGCATGCGTTTGATGTCGATGCATGGAGCCCTGCCTGCCCACATTTGATGCCGTTCGTCTGCCCAGTCCCGGCACTCAAGCAGGACGTGCCGTACGGTTAGCGGCCCGTGGCCGCGTTCGCATTGGTCGGAGTCGGCCTTGTTGATGGCGTGGAGGTATGCACGTAGGCCAATCTTGCACGTGCGCGTCTGTGTGATGGCGGAGCTGATCGCTCTGTGTGTGCCAATGTGCGTGTCGAGTATCGCCTTCCCTGGCCTCACCCCGAGCCTAAAGAGCTCTCTCCCGTGCTTGGCATTCTCCCAGGCCGTATCCCACTCATCCGTGCTCGCTCCAGCGCTTGGATTGGATCCGGTGGCCGACCTCAACCAGTGATCCCGCGAATGCCTGAACCGAATTTGGGAATGCAACCACTGGCCCCGGGGCCTTGTTTGCTCCTGGGGCTCTTAAGCCGAATTCTGAAATCGTTATCTCGACCCGGGGCCATCTTCTCGATAGTCTGCTGGCTACTCAGCTAGGACGCTATAAGAATGCATTTTCCCACTGGCTTCACAATTGGCTTATGAACCAAGGGGCATCGCCGCTTCATTCTACAGCTTTCATCATTTTCTGCTTCCGCGAAGACAGACCCAACCATGGATACATTCATGGCTCATCTACCGTCAGGGGTAGGAGCAGCCCTCAAGGAAAGCTTCTCAACCGTCGTAACCGTGCCCATGTTCTAAATCGGCGCATACAGTGCTTTGGAAACGGTGTTCATCACGTTCGACGTTATCAAAGACCACCGCGCACTATATTTCTGGAGCATCTATATTTCTGGAGCATGCACGTCGCATCGTCGGGCACTCTTGTGCATGCCCTTTCTGCTATCGTTTGCTCTGTATCTCAAGCGTCCACACAGCCAATCTCAATTCCTTTCATGATTGGATGGTATTGCTTCTCCTTACGGAGTATAAGCTGCATTTCATTCAAGTCAGTTCTAGAGCCGTGATTTACAGCATCAAGTTGAAACTGGAATTCACGCTGCTCTATCATCTTCGCTCACCGCCACAGAGCGATTCGGTCCTCCATATCATCCGTGCGTGGGCTGGTGTTCCAACCCATACAAAGCTTGGTCGACAAATCAACCTGCGTATTGACGAGCATGCCTTCAAAGTCCGCTCCGAATGCTCGGTATTGGATCTGTTGAGATCTGGGAATCGGTTCTCACCTCGTCCAGATCATGTTGAACGGTATATGTGACAGACAGCTGGGTAGATGCGACCTGTGTCGACGGCTCTCGATCACCAGAGAGACCTCAGAGCATCGCTAGGTCGCTTAATATGTGCTGTTCTCACATTTTTTAAAACCCTTGTTGGATTTCCATCGATTCTTTTCCCTTTATATCGCCGAAACCTATCGAGCGGTCATCATTTATCCCCACCTCGCACCATGACTTTTCTTGCCTACACCTATATCTTATTAGCTACTCTACCGCTTGAGACATCCTTTGCCCACATCGTGTGAAGCTATGACTTTGTCAAAGGTACAGTAAGGAACAATAGTCTTTTCAGTTATTTCTTGGTGACCACAGCTTGGGTCACAAGAGAGTTGCTTAGATACATGAGACCACACTTTCTCCTTCAGTCATTGTAATCAAAAGCCCACAATAAGAGATATGATGAGCACTTCAATCGTATAGACGGTCATCCTCTTCCGCTGCGCATTTTCCATGCTTTGTGTCATGCTGCAGCTGCGCGGAAGTACCATGTATCACATCATCGGGGTCTTCTGCGCTGGCCGCTGCCGCAATCTCTTCGTATCTATGCTGTAGCAGCTGTGTCCCCAATTGCAATGCTGTCCCACCCCCCGTAGAAAATATATTTGATCTAGTGAGATCTGTGACCGTCTGTAGATATTGGACCGTGTCATGGATCAGTCCGGTACTGATAGTCGACGTGCTTGAAGATTTTTTGGAAGTATCTCTTGTGTTGCCGCTTGAAGATCATCAGAGCCTTGGGAGATGGGGTCCGAGTTGCATTTTCGCTTTTCCACGCCACCTAAATCTTTGGCAGGCCTTCTCCCCGGACTGGCATCCACTTCTGCGAAACCCTTTGAGACAACTCTGAGGCCAGCCGCAGAAGTAGCCTGAGAGGTTGCTCCCGAGTGACTATCGAGAGGGCGTGAGAGATGGGTGGTGGATCCTGACCTTCCACGAACCGCCGAGCCAGTGAACTCATCATGGTCGGGTCGGAAATCTTCGGATAAATCAAAGGGTTAGCGGAGGATCCTGCAAATAAACAGATGTAAATTACCGGCCCATCTTGTATGACCCTGTTGATCATCCTGCTGGTTCTCCATAATTTATCGCAGCAACACTCGACGCTGTCTGTTCTTCCGAGCCAATGGGGAGTTTGTGTTCTCGTTGACTTTGTGCTCATCACCGGACAAACTTTATGGGTGCTGCATGCGGGGCACACGTGTCTCCATTCTGGGTAAATATCTTCGATCGCCTGCGTAGTCGCCCTTATCAGGCCATTATGAGATGCCTTTGTTCCCCGTAGACCGCTGACCGTGCTGCAGTGAGACAAGCGCCGGTATATCATGTCGTTGGAAGTCAATAAGTCAGTAATTAAGTTAGCCTCATCCGTGCGTTGGGCACGCGTAAGTGGAAGCTCACAGCAAGGGCATCAATCACATACTGATTTTCAGTGCCAAGTTTTATTCATCTAAGACTAATGCCGCATGTTTGGATTCAACATGGACTTATACATGGGAAGAGTGGAGTTGCTGGATGTTCAATTGGTCCTTTGATTTTACATAGTATGTGGCCTTGATTGACCTTGGAATCATTTAAACCAGGATCTATCTCACAATGCTATATCAGTCATACTTCAGAGAAATGTATCCTCTGCACTCATCGTAAAACTGGGTAGCCACTAGAGAAATTGATGCCAAGGGTACGCCGTATATTACAATTTATGAGCTCCAGAGCCATTTCCCAACGAAGAATCTTTGATTGCAAAATGCCAAAGGAGCCCCGATGGTCAAACGAGGAGGTGATAATCGCGGCCTATTTTTCTTCCCGGCAAATCTGTTCCAGAGCGATACACTGTTTGCTTTTTCGTCGCGGCTTCCGCCGTACCCATCGCGCCATTGAACGGAAAATCTACTCCATAGTCAAGGGGAATACACATTTGAGGCTCCCAAAAGGCTACTGGCATTTGGACATCGTGGACAGATGGATAGATGGTTTATTACAAGACCAAAAAGCAGTTAATGAGTGGATTGATTTTTCGGCGGATGATGCAGATGATGTTATTCAAGTAAGTTGCCCTGCCAAATCGAAATCAGTGAATCTTACCGTGTTTCGTATAGAACCAACCGATTCATGAAATTATGACAGTACTTAACCTATTCCGCTTTCCGGGGTCGAGCCTAGGGAACTCTTAATATGCGCCCTTTCATGAAACAAGACAGTAAGGTCGGTGAATATTACGGTAAACAACCATGATCGGGTTACGTTAGTTAATGGACCTTATGCACAATATATCACTTCAAAACCACTCGCGTGTTCATGCACTATATATCTATTTATAGGCTAAAAGGCTTATCATACCATCCAGCCACACTAAGTGCGCTTACCACGTCTATCATTTAGAAGCTTATTTATAGCGACAAAGCATAGCTAGCGTAGAATGCAAGGAAAGTCATCATATATAAATCTACTTGAGTCGTGATCAAGTCTATTCTTTCCGACGTGATTCTAGACTAAATGCCATAATCTAAGTGCGGTCATGTGATCTATAAGATTGTTATTTTCTCAACAACCATCAGGCTACGCAAAATCTAGAGCGTCTACTTTAGGATAGGGACTCACCTACTAGAAGTAGGAGGATTTAAAGTATTTAGCGCGCAACGAATAATTAACGCTTCGACGTCTGGTTCGATAGCGCGCATTAACCCGCAAAAAAATGGAAGACACGTGGCCTCTCTTTTCTAGGCTTTTCAAAGTTTTTCGGTACCCTTACAGTGCGGCAACTTAAAATTTCAGACACTCCTACTCAACGGGCGTTGACTTAAAATAAGCGAAACTTACGCAATATGCTACATTCTACCACCTTGTCTATCAACTTCAACTATAAAAGGCAGCCATTTTTCCGATAGATCTAAGCTCTCTATAGTCATGGATAAGTCTAATATGGTGGAGTTACCAGCATAGACATAAGTGCCCAGCAGGACGTCTAACACGCCGCTAGCTACGCCATGTCCGGCTGAGAGTGGAATGCCACTACGGGAATACTTACTAGTAGAATAAACCGGTAATCATAAATTTACTTTCTGACTTAATCTTCTAGATTACTCGAGACGAGACAGGCATCGTGCCTCGGGCTACGAAGCTATTTCGGACCAGTTATTGAAACCCTACAGCGGTTAGAAAAAGAAGACCTAAAGCTTGCTTCCTAGGGCGCACGCCTACTTAGGATTTTTCGACGTATGTGGGAATCATATAGCACCCCTAGCTATCCTAGCCAATACGATTTCATATAGCAGGTGATTAACGAGCTCGATTAGAAATGCGAAACGAAGTAGGCCGTCTAAGATTTTATCCCTTATAAAGTGGTAGTCAGAGGTTGCGAATGCGGCATAGGCTCGGTAAGGATAAAATTTGTCTAATTAGTGGCAGCTAATACTTCAACTCAAACCTAAGTATTAGATTACTAAGTCATGCTTCATATTGCCTGGTTAGGAAATAGAATGGCTATCTATATAAATAGCATGCCTAGTATGGTCAATCTATCTAGGTATTAGGGGCTTCTTCGGAGGGCCATAAAACTTTTGGTATATTAGATTGGGATCATGTCTATCACTTATACCTAGATATTAAACATCATTTCTAAATAATAGGAGAAGGCAGTTAAGGAATACTTTGAAGCATTACAGCGGTGTTGACCGAAAGTCGTAAGCAAAGACCTGCTTTACTCCAGCTCGACCTCAACAGTGCGTAGTTGGAAAACTACGAATATAGACCGTATACTGTAGCATTCCAGGAGTAACAGCAAGGTTTTTAATGATGAATGTAATATGTACACATACCATACATAGTTAAAGGAAGATACTATACTAATTAGCCTTATATTAAAGGGCTTAAAGCCACCAATTCCTAGGGACCGACTACAATATAAAGTTCGTACCAGTCAATAAGGCTATATGATATAGCTATATAAACAACCAGCTAAACTATTTTGCTCTAATGACAGCCTCTATTCTTATCATATAAAAGGTGCCTATATCTCTTTGGTTCCGCGCCTAGAGATATTTCCTTCAGCTTTTCGGAAGCATTCAGAATAAAAGTTTAAACACCATCTACCGCTCCAAAATCTCACCCGACCGCTTCAGGTCGATGTCATCCAGCAGGATAACCATTTTGATCTTAACGAGGCAGTTTCAAGGACTTCAGCAAGTAACAAAATACTTAGGCCCGCCTTTATATATAAGAGCAGGGCACAGTGCATACCACAGCAGACAGACATGGTTTCTAGTAGGCTAATAACACATGCACGGAATTACCGGTGGTATTCGGTATTCGACCAAAAAAAAAAATCTTTTAAGTCTGTAATTATACTGTTTGTGATATAGCATTAAAATACAAGATTGGAATAGCGAACATCTTAGGTAGAGCTGAAACGCTAGTAATGACTAGAAAGTGATTAGCGGTGGTTATCGTGCTGTTTTATGGCAATAGAACGACCTTTAAGAATAAAAAGACACCCGGTTTAGGGCAAATCAACGACTTGCATCTATGAGTCGCACTTTATCTTGAGTATTTTTTATATAGTATATCATCATAAGTGCCCGAGAAAGACTAAAAGAAATTCGCACTTATAGTAGAAGGGACCTTTACTCTTGCTCTAACCGTAACACAAAGCAACATAGATTCAGGAGCAAGCATTTGGTCGCTAGGAGAGTTCTAAAATTGGTCTAACGTTCTTCTTATAATGGGAGACTTATACGAAGAGTCATCTTTTATATAGTCATAGGCCCTAGTAATGGGTGTGCGAGTAAGCAAGGTGTCCAAAAGTTCCCAAAATTGTGAGGGCTGGTAGTGAAATTTCCCTAACCTAGGATAAGCCTTAATAGTACTCAGGAACGTATTACTATTAGATAAAATTAGTTAGAGTTTGGGAATCAGGCCGTTAGCTTATAATCGTGTGCCTGCTAACTTCTATCTTCAAAGAGGCTTTAAAAAATGTCCTTAAATCGACGACTTTCGAAATTCTGGCTTAAACCCCCGAGTTATGTCCTTATGATTGTGATTTGATTGGCTCGTAGCTCGCTTATGCTTAGAAATCATTGTTGAGAATGACTAACAACTAACACTAGGTCTAGCCACAAGAGGATGACCGTTATAGAGTCTCGGCTACTTAACATTAAAAAGTTACGACTATGACTCGATACATCCATCACTTTAATGAGGAAATAACCCGGTCTCAAACATTCGGAGCGGAATATGCACTTTAAACCCTCAAAAATATTCATCTACCGCACCAGTCTTTCCAAAAATTCAATCATCTAACCGATATAAGGACCTTAAATAGATTACTAGGTAGCACTTCATGTCATTTAGTACAATATTTCGGCTCACCCGCCGTTGCTAGATACCATGTTGCAAAATCTATTAAGGCTTTCATAGCAACTCTCTAGACTTTCCATACCTAAGCTATATGGCCTTATTACTACTTTTTTGGTTGTAATCTAGTTGCTCTATACGTTTGGAAGATATGCCTAGCTCTAGGCCTAGAAGAGACGATACTCAATCTCCTTGTATTCCATTAGCTTAACCTTACCAAAGGCTTAGAGATCTTTTTTATATATCCACCTGCCTAGAGTACTTCGATATCTCAATATAGCGGACTTTCACTAGACCTCTATTATAGCCATCCTATTCATAGCGAACATGGTTATTTTAACGTATGAAGTAGAATCCTAGATGATAGTATAGAGAAGAGCCGGATCTCTGGCCGTTATCCACGTCATCCCCTTATGCCTTAGAATCAACTTTGGCTTCCTAGCTAATTTGCTCCACCTTGATCGATAGACAATGGCGTGGTTTTATCGGTGGATTAGACGCATTTACGTTCTCCACTCGCTCTTTTATGGGTCGCTTATAGTGTCTATTTCTAGAACTTCGACCCTCATAATTCTAATCTATATTATCCCGATAATAGTACGTAAACGCATAAATAGAGTAATGCATTCCCCTAATCTAGATATCGCCGCTGATCTTTCTAGGGTGAAAGCGCACTTATCCTAGTTATGCTAGTGACCTACGTGGTAATGCGGCGACGTTATAGGTAATT